TCAGTCTTACCTCGGTTCCTGGCAAAATCATGGAAGGGATCCTTAAGGAATCCATATTGAGGCACTTGGATGAGAGGAAAGTGATTAGGAATAGTCAGCATGGATTCACAAAGGGCAAGTCGTGCCTGACCAATCTGATTAGCTTCTATGATGAGGTAACTGGCTCGGTGGACATGGGGAAGTCAGTGGACGTTACATACCTTGACTTTAGCAAGGCTTTTGATACGGTCTCCCACAATATTCTTGCCAGCAAGTTAAGGGATTGTGGATTGGATAAATGGACGGTAAGATGGATAGAAAGATGGCTAGAAGGCCAGGCCCAGCGGGTAGTGATCAACGGCTCTTTGTCAGGATGGCGGTCGGTTTCTAGCGGAGTGCCCCAAGGTTCGGTTCTAGGACCGGTTTTGTTCAATATCTTTATTAATGACCTGGATGAGGGGATGGATTGCACCCTCAGCAAGTTTGCGGATGACACTAAGCTGGGGGGAGAGGTAGATACGCTTAAGGGCAGAGATAGGGTACAGAATGACTTAGACAAATTGGAGGATTGGGCCACAAGAAATCTGATGAGGTTCAACAAGGACAAGTGTAGAGTCCTGCATTTATTGAGTTTATTGGCATTTTCATTTTATACTTAGGAAGTTTTGTTTTTCTTGCTTGGTTTAATGGGGTTAAATGCTACCATTCTGAATTGTTAATGTTTTACACTCAGATATTGCTGCTAGAAAATGACTGCACAAGTACAAGGCAACAGAGTCATGCCCTAAATTTGTAAAGGGTTTATAATTCATCTGAAAAAACCCCATGCTTTAGGCTTAAACTTAATTTATATATTTTAACACATTTTTTATTATAAAGGATGCTTAAAAATAAATCTTAATAGTTGGGTGTTCAGTGCTAGACAAATTCAAAAGAAAAAATATTACAATGGGGTCCAGAAGGTTTGTATTCAGATGAGAATAATAAGATGTACAATTTAAAATGTGAAGCAGAAATGAGCCATTTAAAAAGGGATTATAATGGCTAACCCTTAAAAATAGCTGAGGCGTGAGTTCAAATAGACTTTTATTGCCATCAACTCCATCCAGAAATTTTCTTCCTACCATGCAGTACCAAAATGCTGTAGGTCATCAACTGCTGAGATTGTTCCCACTGTTCTTCTCATTTTACAATATGTTAATAATATTTTATAGCATTATCTCTGTTCTGGGAGGCTGTTTTCTGTGGTTAGCATATTAACACTGGAAAAATTCCCACACATGTGGTATGTTAAGTGACTGAATTTTCAGTATGAAAATGATAAAAACAGAAAGAACCGAGTCTGCTTTCCCCTTCCCATTTCACTCCTGGTAATTCAGATCTTTTGTGCCTGTTATATTTGGAAAGAAATGGTCAATTATTATTCCTGCAGGCAACTGATAATTTTCTTCCCAATTAATAACCGCCTGCCCTTTCCAAGAAGTTAACAGAAAAGAACATGCTTTATATTGGTGACCTGATTGAGATGTGTTTTAGTTAATTATTTTAGCACTAATTGCATCTCACTTTTTTAGGTTTAAAAGCAAAAACAGGAGTTCTACTGGACCAGAAAAATATACAAGGCTCTAACATAAATAGCTAGATGCCTTTTTTTTTTTTTTTTAAAGGATGAGGGGTCCTGGAAGAACAACACTCCTCTAAGATCAGTCAGCACTAAACTATATAGAAAGGGAATTGTTCTGGAGCTCCTCTCTGCCTAGACTCTGCTTGGAAACAGATTATTTCAGGCATGAGCAATAATTTTTGACTGGGGTCCACTTCAGAAATTTTTGAAGTGGCCCCAGGCTGCCCCAGAAGGGACAGGGCCATGACATTTCCATGCTTCCCCACCCGTAGACACTGATTGGTCTGGGGGTGAGGGAGCGTGCAAAGTCTTTGCCCTCCTCAGAGAGAACCGCCAGCTGTTCTGAACAGGAGTACCTGTGCCCCTGGCGCTGGGAGGAGACTTTGTGTGCTTCTTCCCCCCCCTCCCTCCCGCTACCCTCAGGTCAATCAGGGCCTGGGAAGAGGGAGCATGTGAAGTCTCTTGCTCCCTGCCCCCATCCTGCAAGGGAGCGCCGTGCTTAGTGTCAGCTGCCAGCTGAGCAGCAGCTAGTGCCCCATGCCCAGATTGACCTAGGGGCGGGGAGAGCACACGAAGTTTCCTTCCGTCTAGGCCCTGTCCTGCAAGGAGCGTGCAGTGCTTAGAAGCGCCGCACCCCTCACAGGGTGGGAGGAGACTTTCCATACTTCCTGCCCCGCCCGCTGCCCCCAAGCCAGTCAGGCCTTGGGGGAGGGGAACCATGCAAAGTCTCCTCCTGCCCTGCCAGGAATACCCGGCACTTCTTGCAGGGTGGGGACAGGGCTGGAGGAGACTTTGCGTGCTTCCCCCTTCCCCCTAGGGGCAAGGGGAGTGGCAGGGCTTCCGCAGGCCAGATCAACTTGCTTGGCAGGCCGCATCCAACCCACAGAGGCCCTTTTGCCCACCCCTGAACTATTTAGTATCTGCCGCTGACTGATAGGTGTTTGGCACATTTTAATATAACCCATCCAATCCAACTTCCATCTTATACTGAGAGAGAGAATGTGCTTTCTTTTGTTAGCTTCTAACCCTCTGGGAGTTTAGTGTTCTGTTTAATAGGTGTTTATGTGTAACTATTGGATGTTTTATCTCAGATGAGCTGGTTTTTAAGAAATGCTTTGATCATTAAAAAAAGCTGAGTTTTAACACTTGTTAACATCTAGATAATGGTAAAAGTCTGAGAGGTAGCTGTGTTAGTCTGTAACTTTAAAAACAGCAAGCAGTTGTGTGACCGTAGAGGTGAGCTTTTGTGACCCACTTCATCAGATGAGTTGGAGTGGAAAGTAACAGAATCCAGGCAGGGTATATATAATAGCAAATAAGTTACCTGTCAATTAATGAAACTAAGTAAGTCCAGCTGAATGTGTCTCTCATTCATGGTATGTGATATAGAAAAAATATCAAAGGCGCAGAAGTTGCCTTTGTAGTGTGTTAACCCGTTAAAATCTTTATTCAAGCCTAAGTTTATAATGTTGGACTTGTAAATGAACTCCAGGTCAAATGTCTCTCTTTGAATTGGGTGATAAACATTCTTTTGTAGCAGAATGGCTACTTTCAAATCCATTATTGAATGTCCAGGGAGGTTAAAATGTTCCTCTGCAGGTTTATGTGTTTTGCTGTTCCTGATGTCTGATTTGTATCCATTTATCCTTTGATGCAGAGACTGTCCAGTTGGGCCAATAACAGATAATGGATAATGATGATGACGACGACACCCCTCAGCTTTCATCCCACACACTGGCTGCCCTGCAGGAGTTCTATGTAGATCAGCAGCAGAGAGGGGGCACAAAGATCTCTGAAGGGTTTAAACAGTATTCTGTTGGCTCAATAGAGGAGGACTGGGTAAGAAACTAAACTTCAAAGACTTCAATGCAATTGTTGTATTTCGTTACATAGGAGCAGAAACATGAGGCGTCTCTTTGGAGGTGACCAAGAAGCGGGAATGAAAAAGAGCATTTTCAAGAGTGGGGGAATTTTATGGTGTGCAAGCAGTATCAGTAAATTCAGTCTCCCTGACTTGTCATTGAAACTGGATGTTTGTATGTTTGTTTGTTTTTCTTCTATCTGGCACTCATTGAAATTGATGTGGAGGAAGGTAGAAAAGATGCTAAAGCAAGAGTAGCTGCACTCTCAGGAAATTTTAGTTCCAGACTGGGAAAGTGGAGGAGGTACAGATTTTTCCCTTAGTGCCTAGGTCAAAGAGATGAAATTAAGACATTGTGGAATAGCACATTGTTCCCTCTCCTCTCCAATTATGCCTCTTTGTTTTTTACTTGCCTTCTTTGGGTGGTGACTTGTCTTTTCTTACCTGTGGCTGACTGATTCTGACCTTGAGGATTTCTGGCTTTCTTTTTCCTGTTTTCCTTTTTTTCTGATTTCTGTCATCTGACTTTCTCCTTCTTACCCTCTACTACAGGGGTGGCCAACCCATTACAGACAAAGAGCCGAAATCATGGTGGATACAGCGCAAAGCACTGAGGGGGGGAAAAAGCCGGGCCTCTGCATTTGCTCAAGCACGCAAAAAAAAAAAAAAAACCCAAACCCCTTTTAAGAGCAGAGCAAGCATTACCTTTTTAAGGCGGCCATTTTGAAGTGTGCATGGGACACCGCGACTCCAGCTCTGTCGCTTTCAGACAGAAACACGCTGCCCAAGCCCTGATCTGCAGGCGTAGTAAAGCAGGGGCAGCTTCTATCTCATCTTTTGTTCCCTGATACCTCTTTCTTGACTTCTTCTATCTTTCCCCTCGTGTGTCTCCTTGCCCCTCACAATCCTGAGCTGGTATAAACTGTAAACTGTTCTCTGCCTCAAAGTGAATGAATGATTTCTTAATACAATTTTAAACCACTTAAAGACTGGGAGTTAAAATATTTGCCCACTGCACAGTATCTGTGGATTTGGATTTAGCATTGGTAACAGGACAAAGGTACTAAATAAAGGAATGATCTACATACAATTGTTTTAGATTTTTGTTTTCCAGAATGAGGTTGATATTGGTTAACAAAAAGTAAGTCATATACTGCACAGTCAGAAGGGACCAATTTTGTCAGTAATTATTTGTACATGATTTTCCCCAGCAATTGAGCCAATTCTGGTACAATGATGAAACTGCATTGTGCCTCGCTAATGAAGCAATTCTGGCAGCTGGAAAAGGTGGCAGGTAAGTTATATTAATTATTTTATAAATTAAACTTGTTATGCTTCCTCTTAACATGTTCTAAGTAAGCTACTTCCAATTATCTTGTTTTTCTACAAATGCTTACAGAAAATAACACTATTCAACATGTCCATTATTTTAAACTTCTGCTCTTAAGGAAGGTTTACACTGCTGCTTGTGTCAATCTAACTTGTGTTGTTCAAGGTAATGCAAAAGATATCCCTGTGCATTAATTTGAGCACAGTCTGGTCCACCAACAGGGATCCAGGCCTGCCTCTGCATGTAAATCCTGTATTTTTTAATAGACAGTTTGTGAAGGTTAATGAACTACATCATACTAATGATAATGGAGTACTAGCAGCAGAGACAATCAACAGTATTGCTTTTTTTTTTATTAAGGGGCTTGTTGTGATTGGTTGGTTGGTTTGTTCCATGCAAAATTATAGTGAATATATTAAAAACAGAAAGCCAAGTAAAAAAGGCTACATCTACACCACAGGGCTTTTGCGCAAAAAACTGCAGAGCGCCCACACCTCAAGCACATTTTTGCACAAGAAAATTTACAGTGGAACGGCAGAACAGAGGGCTTTTTGCAGTATAGATATGCCTCTTTCTATGAGGAATAACTCCTCTTTGCGCATGAGTTCGTGCGCAAAAAGGTGTGTAGATGCTCAACAGGGGTTTCTTCTGTAAAAAGAGTCTATCAGAAAAAGCACAGGTGCTCTGATGGCCATTTTGTTAATGGCCATCAGAGCTTTCTTGCGCAAGAGCATCCATACAGTATGGATGCTCTCGTGTGCCAAAGCACATTGCTTTTGCGATGCACATTTGTAGTGTGGATGCACTTTTGCGCAAGAAGTTTTTGCAGACGACCTCTTCTGCAAAAAGCTTCTTGCGCAAAAAGCCTGCAATGTAGACGTAGCCAAAGATTATAACATACAAGTGAGGCCCAGATCAAAACCCAGGATCAAAATACCCCAGAACTTCTGGGTCTTGGAAAAGAGGTCAAAATCCAGATCTGATTTTGCAAATAGACCTTTTTTTAAATATAAAGGCTGGACTGAAATACTCACTTTGGAGGATTAGAAATCTAAATCTTGTGATCTGAGCCCAATTCTCATATGATCCTTGCCTGTTACCCTTTACAAAGAATGTTCTAAATTAGTTCTTTTTCATTTTAGAATAGCATGCATTAGTGTACCAAGTGTTTACCAGAAACTGAAAGAACAAGATGGCAAAGATTTTTCAGTGTGTATACTGGAATATGACAGAAGATTTTCTGTATATGGAGAGGAATTTATCTTCTATGATTACAACAATCCATTGAATATACCTGAAAATCTCATACCACACAGTTTTGACATGGTTTTAGCAGATCCACCCTACCTGTCTGAGGAATGTCTCAGAAAAACATCAGAGACCATCAAATACTTAACAAAAGGAAAGATTCTGCTCTGTACAGGTATAGTATCTGTGTCTTTTGAGAGAATGGAAAAACTATACTCAATGTTGTTGCTCTAAATATTTTTATTATCCATTTTAGTTTTGTTCCAGTGGAACTCAGGCAGAGGTCCAACAGAATCCTGTATGCTGGACAGGTTTACTGCTGGCTTTCCTGCCAGCTCCTGACCAGGCCAGACTGCCCTGGAGTCAGGGATCTTGGAGTATCTGAGATCCATGGTTCTGGGACCAACCTACCAGGCAGACTGTTTCAGAGCAGGGCTCCCTTCCCTTTCATGGAGAACTTCAAAACTTTGGCGGGGGGGGATTTGTTCTGAGTCAGAACTACAGATACCCACTACTGTGCTGTAGATTCTTTAACTTTTCACATGTCCCCTAACATTTTAATGGTAACTACACACTTTTACTGACCAAGGGCTGAGAGTTTTAACAGTCACAGAATCCTTAAACATTACCTTTAACAATAAATGTGTCTACTGATACATATGCGTTTCTCCATGAAACAGAATTACCTTTATTAGTCTAGCTCTAGTTCAGTGGTTCTCAAAGTGTCATCCGCAGACCACTAGAAGTCTGCAACTGTCTTGCAGGTAGGCTGAGGGCTTGGGGCTTGTCCCCTTGCAGCAGGGAACCTATGTTCATGCTCCAACCCCACAAGATTGGCGTGCCAGTACTGGCTTCCTGCTACGTGGGGGAGGGAGATTCTTGCAAGCCAGATCCAGCTTATGAAGTGGCTCTGCATGCTGCCGCTTGCCGTGCCGGCAAGCTTGGGGGAGTGGCAGCACAGGACACTGCTTATCTGGAGGCATTGCTTCCTTTGGCTGAAATCACCTTACTTCCTGGCCAGACTCCCACCCACACCTATTTTGTCATCATAGTCGGTTGGTGGTCTGTGTAAATGTTTGTGTTGTGAGCCAAAAAGTTTGAGAACCACTGCTCTAGGTGCATCCCAACTAGGACAAAATGCATTAGGAAATCCTGACCTCTGAGCTGTGCAGTCTTAGGGAATCTATATGCCTAATGCTCCTAGTGCATATATGGGATATGTAGTCAGTGCCTGGGAATCCCTATATATTTCTGGAGTTGAACAACAAAGCTTGAGAACTGCTTAGCTCTTTCCTGGTAAGCCCAAGCTAAGCTAAAATGACAGTAGAGTGAGTGATAACTAATTGCAGTAGCCTCTATCTAATCAGCGAAGTGGGAAGTTTTAGCAATGATGACTTCTAAAGGAATGAAAGTGTTAGAGTTTCACTTTAAACACAAATATGTCAGTAGATGCATTTATTGTTAACAGCAATGTCTGAGGATTCTGCCACTGTTAAAAACCTTAGCCTTTGGGCAGTGAAAATGCATAGTGGCATTGAAAATGTTAGAGGATGTATGTGAAGAGCTAAAGAACCTACAGCTCAGTAACAGTACCTGTCAGGGCTAGTATTCTTTCCAACATTTTCTATCCTTTAGGCAGGTTGAAATTTCTTATGTGCAATACCAATATTGAGGTATGCTGTGAATGTGCACCACCAATACAAAAAAAACCCATACTCATATACTGGTAAAAAGGAAAACCCAGCTGTGCCTCTTGCACTTCCTATCACAAGCGATTTGAATGGTTGTTGGACGTCTCTGAAGATCAGTGGTGGATAATAGGATTCCTGTAAACGCAGTACAATATGTAAAGTTCTTTGCCATCCTTCCAGCTCTGTTGCAAAACTCTTGAGAGACATTGGGTAAGTCACTTACCCCATATTACCTATGCCAAGAGTTCAAAACTCAGAAGACAGAACCCCCAGAATCATGCCAACTTCCTAAAAGCCATGTTTTTACACACACACACACACACACACACACACACCCCTCTATATATACATGTATATTTTTAAACAGTCCATAGATGTGCAAGAAAATATATTAAAAAAAGAGATAGTTAACAAGGAGCAATGCTTATGAACTCAAATAAAAAAGAAAATTAACATTACCCTTGGAGTTCATGTATCATCATCCTTTCTAACAATTCAAGTTAGTAAACACACCAAAATGCATATTATCCACACATAGCTCACCTTTAATATGCTAAACAAATCTGTGTCAACTAGAAGTAGCAATGCTCTCCTTGCAAATATTGATACAGTATTTACTGACACTGAAAAGGAGAGTAAAAAGCATTCACTAAAGCTTATACAGTTTCTCTGGGGAATGTTTAGGATCCATGCCATATAAGAACAAGTGAAACAGAGACATGTAAAAACAGATAAACGTTCTCCTAGTTTGAAAATTTCACCTTGTGTGTGTCCCCCAACTCAAAGAGTAGAAGCCCGAGAACAAGTTAACACATGGCTTCAGGGTTTGTAGACAGATGCATGTTTCAAAGATCTTGCAAATAAGGTTTAATTCTACAAACAACTAGCATCACATCTAGTACTTGCTACTTCATAAGAGCCAGAACTCTACCACATAACAAAGGTCTGGCTTTAATACCATGTATTAATTAGTATCAGGATTTTAAAAAATCATTAAGAGCAGAATTTTAGGTATCTGCAACACTCCAAAAAAATTCTGTTAGAAAAAGGAAGAAAAAGATTCTTTTTTCTTACCTTAAGCCGTTAACACCTATGTCAACTTTGAAATGTAATCATGCAAATGTTCTGGCACATATACACATCCCTTGCAGCCTGCTTTCCCCTCCACGCTTCTTTCAACTCAGATGGACAGAGAAGACTGCAGCAAGTGAATCAAGATGCCCCAAACAAACTCTCCTTCCCACCCCCCGGCCTCCGCCAGCTTCCCCCCGTCCCTCCTTCCCAGCCCAGGAGTCTTGAGGAGAGTGCTGCGTTTCTGCCTCTTATTTTCTCTCCTGGTGCAGACGGGACTTCCTAAACTCCCCTCCCCTCTGACTCCTCCCTCCTTTCCCCAAACTCCCCTACCTTACAACTCTCCCCCCAGCTTCTTATTCCCTTGGTCCCTCCTCATTATTTCCCCTCCCTCCCTTCCTCCCTCCCTTCCTGCTCTTGGAGCTCCTCCATTTGCTTCGGACAGCTCTGTTTGAAGCTGCTCAGGGAGATGCCCCTTCCCGTGCTGGTCAGCTGTGCTCCCTGCCTGCACGGGTGCTCTGAGCCTCTGCACAGGGCTCATTAAAGGGCTGTGCAGCCATGCAGCTTACAGGGAACTTAGGTCAGGGCCTCTTCTCAATGTAGAGCCCCATGTTTTAAATGATACTAAGGCTTGCTTTTCCCGTACTATAGTAGTGTTTAGTGCAGACGTTCTTCATCTGTGATACATGTACACTGGTCCTATGGGAGCTTGATGTTCCATCCATTCATTTCACAATTTTTTTGAGACAGTGGTATTTGAATAAGTAAAATTTGGGAGCCTCTGCTCTTAAGTACCAGCTGTGTTACTTCCCTACAGCAGTGGCTCTCAACCCTTCCAGACTGCTATATCCTTTTCAAGAGTCTTATTTGTCTTGTGTACACCTCACTTAGACTTACACAATCAGATATAAAATGTAAAAGGGTTGCAGCACACTATTACTGAAAAATGGCTTACTTTCTCATTTTTACCATATAATTATAAAATAATCTGGAATATGAATATTGTACTGACATTTCAGTGTGTAGTATACAGAGCAGTATAAACCAATCATTGTCTATGAAATTTTAGTTTGCACTGATTTTACTAGTGCTTTTTATTTAACCTGTAGGCAAATATCTAGATGAGGTGATGTATCCCCAGAAGACCTCAAAGTACCCCCATGGGAACTAGGGATGTGAAGGTTAACGAGTAGGGTTTGAGCAACTCCTCATCTGCCATAGGCAGGGGGCTGCTCCAGCCCTGCGCGGGACCTACTGCGGACACAGACTGCTCCAGCGCAGCCCCTTCCTGCATCAGGCCTGGGCACCCCACAGGCAGGGGCTGTTCTAGTGTCCCAGCTGGAGCAGCCTCTGTCTGCAGTGAGCCAGGGCAGCCTGCAGGCACAGGTTGCTCTGAGTGGGACACCAAAGCAGCCCCTGCCTGCAGGATGCTCAGGGCTACCACAGGCAGAGGCTGCTCGGCATCCCAACTAGTGCAGCCCCTGTTTTCAGCAGTGGGCTGCAGGCAGGGAATGCTCTAGCCTGGCTGGAACTGCCCCTGCTTATAATGGGAGGGAGAATCATTCCAGCCCAGCGGCGGGTACAGGGCTGCTCAAGCTAGGCTGGAGCAGCCCCCCCCACCTTTAATTGGTTAACCAGTTAAACATTATGTTTAACCGATTAGCCGATTAAACACGATTTTACATCCCTTATGGGTACACATACCACTGGTTGAGGGCCATTACCCTGGAGCATCTGTGCTTTGGAATTGGATAGCTTTAAATACAACATTCTGTATCGTGCTCACTCATCAAGTGGCAGCAACGTGTGTGGAATTTGAGTCTTTCTCATTTAGCTGTTCATCTACAGTCAAGAACTCATACAAGGAAGAACAGTCAGCCTCAGGAGAAGGGGATAGTGGAGAAAGCACCTTGCACCATTCTCAGACACTCTCCCTGCTTTCTCTCCTTCGTCTCCCTCCATTGGGACACCAACCATGGCATGTCCCAACAGTGTATGATGTTACAGAGCTTTAGGCTTGTAGAAAGGAAGTAAAATAGGGGGGTACTGGAGGAACAATTTAAAGAAGAATCATAGAATGTGCTTTTACTCTTCTTTACTCATCAAATTCTAATTTTTTCCGCTTCAGGTGCCGTCATGGAGGAGCAGGCAGCGAAGCATCTTGGTGTGAAGATGTGCAATTTTATTCCAAAGCATACTCGAAATTTAGCCAATGAATTTCGATGTTATGTGAATTATGATTCTGGACTAGACCGTGATTTTAGCTGTTCAGAATGTACATAAGCTAAACAGTGTATCAATCAAGTTCACTCATTCCTTTTTTTCAATTATGTCTGTGATTCTCATTGCTTTATTAAAGGTGCTGCTCCAGGTAACTGTTTTTTCAACTATCTTTAGACATCTAAATGTGACTGACGCTGTAATCTGCTAAGTCTGCCAACGTTTGCAGCTGATTTCTTTTGGTATCCTACTTAGGGCTTATCGTCATGTAGTAAGTGCTACAGTGAGACAGCTGTACTAATGCAGCCATAGCACTTTAGTGAAGGTGCATCTCTGCTGACAGGAGGGCTTCTCCCATCGACATAGCCCTGTTTAGAGAATTAGGTTGGTGTAGTGTAAACCTGGCCTTGGTAGTTGAACTGATCCTGATTAGTAGCCTTTCCCATATTAAATCTGTTCCATGAAAGGGGGGAGAGTTCAAGTGGCCTGGTCCAGCACCCCTGCTTTCCCCTCCAACCATAAATCAATGGTACTATAAACTCATAGTCCCAGTCTCTCTGGTGAGAAGATGGGGAGAGATCCAAGCCAACCCTGGTCTCTGAGGGATAGGGGAAAGGAGAGATCCTGGTCTCTCCAGGAGAGGGGTTTCTTGGACCTCGCTC